CTTTTACAATGTAGTCACAAGCATATCTTCAAGTAGCAGTTGTCATCCGTTGAATTGTGTTACCTGTTGGTCTTGCTATGTTTTTAGGCAGAAGTTCGGCTTCTTTTTCTTCGCAAAACGTGGGTAGCAAATTTTCTGCCACTTTCTACTAGAAAAATTTAGCTTAAATCATTAAATTAGACATCATTGTGCCTAACTATGTAAGGTGAGGAGGTAATAGAGTATTATTGTTGGGAAATGAGGATTTCTTCAATTCTTTTGGCAAAAAAAAATCGGTTACGTGATGAGTCATGAATCTTCAGGAGGAAAGATGAGCAAAGATCATAATAACTTCAAGACAAAATATTCTGACACTTTATAAAGCAGAAAGGGCAGTAATTACATTTTGCGGATGCAATAACGTATTTTGAGAGTGTTAAGTATATTTTTTATCAGCAGCTAAAGACTTGTACTATAAACTAAGCTGAGGCACGACTTGACACACACAGAGTGTCCTTTACTGGCCTAAATTAACTAACTCTCCTTGTCACTGAAAATGTGAGCAGGATGCAATTTAGCACGTTATCTGTCCAAGGAAACGTTAAAGAGTTCCCTCTGTATAAACGCATTTTAGACACTAGTGAATTTCAATACTTGAATACACAACTAGGAATTTATCGATCCACTACTCAAACGCTGTCTTCTATATCTCAAAGTCAAACTCTAATCCAGTTCCTTTCAGTTTTTCCAACACTTCCTTTTCAAATCTCTCATTCAGTTCTGGAGTGAAGTAATTCTTCCATCCACCGACCACTCCCTTCCGGAGAAGCAAGGAACTCTCTTCGTCCCGAATCTTATAACTGATCTCATTTTTCTTCATGTTCTTGAATGTACATTGCTCTGCAATACGATTGATGAGTTCATCGGACAGTGGTTTATTCAAAAAATTAGCAATCATTCGTACATGGAGCGGTGAATCCTAGGAGGAATTGAAATTGAAATTGAAATTTGAACAACTAATTATCCTCTCCTCTTATATACATGGAGCTTTTCAGGGATGATGAAACAAATAACTCAAAGGAAACATAGCAAAGTTATGAATCACAACAGGTAGGGGGCGAACAAGTTGGCTACAGTAAAAACCCGCGAGTAAGAAACTGAAAATTAAGAACCTGTTAGCCTAACATTTGCCATTTATACCCCCCCGTATAAACAAGAACCTGTTTAGCCTAGAAAATGAAAAACGGGTTCTTATTTTTTAAAATCATATTAATGAAATGCAGCTGCAAAGCTGTGCAAGAATCCTGTTTGGAGAATTAGGAGCTTGGCATTGNATCCACTACTCAAACGCTGTCTTCTATATCTCAAAGTCAAACTCTAATCCAGTTCCTTTCAGTTTTTCCAACACTTCCTTTTCAAATCTCTCATTCAGTTCTGGAGTGAAGTAATTCTTCCATCCACCGACCACTCCCTTCCGGAGAAGCAAGGAACTCTCTTCGTCCCGAATCTTATAACTGATCTCATTTTTCTTCATGTTCTTGAATGTACATTGCTCTGCAATACGATTGATGAGTTCATCGGACAGTGGTTTATTCAAAAAATTAGCAATCATTCGTACATGGAGCGGTGAATCCTAGGAGGAATTGAAATTGAAATTGAAATTTGAACAACTAATTATCCTCTCCTCTTATATACATGGAGCTTTTCAGGGATGATGAAACAAATAACTCAAAGGAAACATAGCAAAGTTATGAATCACAACAGGTAGGGGGCGAACAAGTTGGCTACAGTAAAAACCCGCGAGTAAGAAACTGAAAATTAAGAACCTGTTAGCCTAACATTTGCCATTTATACCCCCCCGTATAAACAAGAACCTGTTTAGCCTAGAAAATGAAAAACGGGTTCTTATTTTTTAAAATCATATTAATGAAATGCAGCTGCAAAGCTGTGCAAGAATCCTGTTTGGAGAATTAGGAGCTTGGCATTGCTGCGCAAATACAAGTGCTAATTTATTGATGTAATAAAAAAATAAAGTGCAAGAGGTTAACATTGTTGTATCGCATTTTGAAATTGAAAAATACGCTGATTACCATCTTGTTTTGTAGCTTGTTCTTTTTTATATATTTTTTAAAAACTGTGTTAACTACCACACAGTAATTTTCAAGGAGTTATAATAACTCCTCTAGTGGGCTAATTTAACTCCTTACGGTGGAGTTATTTTTTGGGGAGTTGTTTTAACTCCAAAAAGGAGTTTAAAGAACACTTTTTCAGGAGCAAAAGTGACCCCAGATATTGAGAAGTTAAAATAACCCCAAAAAAGGAGTTATCCTGTACCTAAAATTTTTCTCCACTTTCAGAGCTGAATTAACTCCAAAAGGACTAAAAACAACCCAGGTGAGGAGTAAAAATAATCCCATTTCGGAGTTATATTTACTCCAGACTGGCAGTAAAAAGAACTCTTTTTCAGGAGTAAAAATTACCCCAAATTCGGAGTTAAATTAGGAGTTAAAGTAACACCCAAAAAGAGGTTATCCTGTACCTAAAATTTTTACTCCATTTTTGGAGTTATAATAACTCCCTAAAAATTACGGTGCATTTAAATAAGAACCTGTTTAGGCTAACTCCGGAAAATGTAGGTTCTTACTTGCGGGTTTTTACTGCATTTCACAGTCGTGAACAACAGATTCAGCTAGCTGTCACTGTTGAGACTTCCACTCGGGGCCTTTAGATTACAAGTCTAGCGCTTTAAACGCTCGGCCATGCTGCCTCTCCCAGCAAAACTGTTAAGCCCCGTGTAAACGGACGCAACATCGTTGACCAACAACTCGCAACATCGTGAATGCTACATGTGACGTCCGTTTGCACACCATGTTGTATGTTTTTGCCGGTTGTTGCGTGTTGTTGCGCAAAGTTTGAAACTGGTCAAACTTTTAGCTACGTGCAAACGGGCGCAACAACTCTCAACAATGCTGGCCAAGAATGTTGCGTCTGTTGAAGCATCAGTGCGCCAAGCAACAAGGATTAAGATTGTTTTATCTCTCAGTTAGTACGCGCGCGAGGATTTGTCTGTTTTGCGGGCTGTATGTTTTTTTATGAAACAAATCCACGATTTTGAACATAAAAATTCAGGATTTGACAAGTGCCTTCTATCAACGACCCAGCGTGCTTCTTGAATTGAAATCTTCGATGCCTTTTTAGCGTCTACTTAACCCAAATATATAATAGACATCTAACTAACCTAGCTTTCTCGATCCATACTGCAAGTTAAGGAACCCCGTTTTTTTCCGTTCCGACTTACGGCCCTCGCGCTTCAAGCTCAAGTTACGGGTCAAATCTAAATCCTCCGAGCGAAAAAGACACTCGGTCCTTAACTCCGGTACGGACCTCAAAGAAGATAAGTCAGAATTTTTGTTTCAAAGTATGTAATTGAATTGAGAAAGATATAAGGATGATTGTTTTCACAATTGGTATGTAGGATGTTTATCTCGGGGTTGCCTGACGTACTGCGCTCAGTAAACATAGAGGATAAATAGTCAGGAGCCAGATCATTAAGAGCTTTGAATACAATTAAAGCTACTTGAATTTGACGCTGGGTGATCAGGTCTTTTCAACCAAGTTGTTATAGCAAGTAGCGAGCGTCAACATCATAGAGGAGGAAGTCAAAATGCGAGCAGCACGATTCTGCAGTTTTTGTAATCTTTCAGAGAGCGTTTTGCCGCAATTACCCCAGACAATACTACAGTAATCGAAAAGGGGTTGTACCAAGGCATTGTAGATGTAATGTAGTATTTCTGGCGACACAAAAGGTCTAACTCGCTTTATGGCGCCAATGCCAGAGGGAATCTTTTTTGATAGTTTGTCGATATGACTAGGCCATGCCGTGCCTGCGTCGCAAACGCCCAAAATCGTCTGTATAAATGGTTTAGATGAGTGCGTGGGTCGGCGGCTGCAAAGCAGGCGCTATTAGATCTATGAAAAGCCGATGATTCCTTTTAAGACCGTGACAGCAAACTGACCGACAGATGCTAATGAGACTTGATGACAAAATGTTGATAATGATGATAATGTTGATGATGTTGATGATAAAGAAGAAGAAGAAGTAGAAGAACATGATGATAATGATGATGATGACGTTGATGGTGGTGTTGGTGCTAGTAGTGATGATGGTGATGATGATGATGATGATGATGATGATGATGATGATGATGGTATGTTGATGTTCATGGTGACCATGACGATGATCATGATTGGTTAGTCATGACTGCACATATTCTCAAACCATTTTTTATTGTTCATCAAAAATATTACGCTTAAAAACATGCTTTCCTCGACCGATGTTCTCGTCTTACAATATAGTCACAAGCATATCTTCAAGTAACAGTTGTCATCCCTTGAATTGTGTTACTGTTGGTCTTGCTATGTTTTTAGGCAGAAGTTCGGCTTTTTTTTCTTCGCAAAACGTGGGTAGCAAATTTTCCGCCACTTTCTTCTAGAAAAATTTAGTTTAAATGATTAAATAAGACATCCTTGTGCCTAACTATGTAAGGTAAGGAGGTAATAGAGTATTATTGTTGGGAAATGAGGATTTCTTCAGTTCTTTTGGCAGAAAAATCGGTTACGTGACGAGTCATGAATCTTCAGGAGGAAAGATGGGCAAAGATCATAATAACTTCAAGACAAAATATCCTGACATTTTATAAAGCGGAAAGTGCAGTAATTACATTTTGCGGATGCAATAACGTATTTTGAGAGTGTTAAGTATATTTTTTATCAGCAGCTACAGACTTGTACTATAAACTAAGCTGAGGCACGACTTGACACACACAGAGTGCCCTTTACTGGCCTAAATTAACTAACTCTCCTTGTCACTGAAAATGTGAGCAGTATGCAATTTAGCACGTTATCTGTCCAAAGAAACGTTAAAGAGTTCCCTCTGTATAAACGCATTTTAGACGCTAGTGAATTTCAATACTCGAATACACAACTAGGAATTTATCGATCGACTACTCAAACGCTGTCTTCTATATCTCAAAGTCAAACTCTAATCCAGTTCCTTTCAGTTTTTCCAACACTTCCTTTTCAAATCTCTCATTCAATTCTGGAGTGAAGTAATTCTTCCATCCACCGACCACTCCCTTCCGAAGAAGCAAGGAACTGTCTTCGTTCCGAATCTTATAACTGATCTCATTTTTCTTCATGTTCTTGAATGTACATTGCTCTGCAATACGATTGATGAGTTCATCGGACAGTTGTTTATTCAAAAAATTAGCAATCATTCGTACATGGAGCGGTGAATCCTAGGAGGAATTGAAATTGAAATTGAAATTTGAACAACTAATTATCCTCTCCCCTTATATACATGGGGCTTTTCAGGGATGATGAAACAAATACTTCAAAGGAAGCATAACAAAGTTAGGAATCACAACAGGTAGGAGGCGAACAAGTTGACTACAGTAAAATCCCGCGAGTAAGAAACTGAACTAAGAACCTGTTAGCCTAACATTTGCCATTTCTACCCCGTATAAACAAGAACCTGTTTAGCCTAGAAAATGAAAAACGGGTTCTTATTTTTTAAAATCATATTAATGAAATGCAGCTGCAAAGCTGTGCAAGAATCCTGTTTGGAGAATTAGGAGCTTGGCATTGCTGCGCAAATACAAGTGCTAATTTATTGATGTAATAAAAAAATAAAGTGCAAGAGGTTAACATTGTTGTATCGCATTTTGAAATTGAAAAATACGCTGATTACCATCTTGTTTTGTAGCTTGTTCTTTTTTATATATTTTTTAAAAACTGTGTTAACTACCACACAGTAATTTTCAAGGAGTTATAATAACTCCTCTAGTGGGCTAATTTAACTCCTTACGGTGGAGTTATTTTTTGGGGAGTTGTTTTAACTCCAAAAAGGAGTTTAAAGAACACTTTTTCAGGAGCAAAAGTGACCCCAGATATTGAGAAGTTAAAATAACCCCAAAAAAGGAGTTATCCTGTACCTAAAATTTTTCTCCACTTTCAGAGCTGAATTAACTCCAAAAGGACTAAAAACAACCCAGGTGAGGAGTAAAAATAATCCCATTTCGGAGTTATATTTACTCCAGACTGGCAGTAAAAAGAACTCTTTTTCAGGAGTAAAAATTACCCCAAATTCGGAGTTAAATTAGGAGTTAAAGTAACACCCAAAAAGAGGTTATCCTGTACCTAAAATTTTTACTCCATTTTTGGAGTTATAATAACTCCCTAAAAATTACGGTGCATTTAAATAAGAACCTGTTTAGGCTAACTCCGGAAAATGTAGGTTCTTACTTGCGGGTTTTTACTGCATTTCACAGTCGTGAACAACAGATTCAGCTAGCTGTCACTGTTGAGACTTCCACTCGGGGCCTTTAGATTACAAGTCTAGCGCTTTAAACGCTCGGCCATGCTGCCTCTCCCAGCAAAACTGTTAAGCCCCGTGTAAACGGACGCAACATCGTTGACCAACAACTCGCAACATCGTGAATGCTACATGTGACGTCCGTTTGCACACCATGTTGTATGTTTTTGCCGGTTGTTGCGTGTTGTTGCGCAAAGTTTGAAACTGGTCAAACTTTTAGCTACGTGCAAACGGGCGCAACAACTCTCAACAATGCTGGCCAAGAATGTTGCGTCTGTTGAAGCATCAGTGCGCCAAGCAACAAGGATTAAGATTGTTTTATCTCTCAGTTAGTACGCGCGCGAGGATTTGTCTGTTTTGCGGGCTGTATGTTTTTTTATGAAACAAATCCACGATTTTGAACATAAAAATTCAGGATTTGACAAGTGCCTTCTATCAACGACCCAGCGTGCTTCTTGAATTGAAATCTTCGATGCCTTTTTAGCGTCTACTTAACCCAAATATATAATAGACATCTAACTAACCTAGCTTTCTCGATCCATACTGCAAGTTAAGGAACCCCGTTTTTTTCCGTTCCGACTTACGGCCCTCGCGCTTCAAGCTCAAGTTACGGGTCAAATCTAAATCCTCCGAGCGAAAAAGACACTCGGTCCTTAACTCCGGTACGGACCTCAAAGAAGATAAGTCAGAATTTTTGTTTCAAAGTATGTAATTGAATTGAGAAAGATATAAGGATGATTGTTTTCACAATTGGTATGTAGGATGTTTATCTCGGGGTAACTAACTCTCCCAATAATCTGGGGCTATATTTCAGGGGCACCCAACGAGAATATAGTTAAAAACCACATAAACATAGCATTGTTGAACGTACTTTAGTATTTAAACGGTAGATAAAGGCTTATTTTTATCCCTAAAAATTTTTCATCTGTTCGGATTTCCTAGCTGAAAGTATAGTGATCCGAAAATTATAGGGATCAAAATTTACCTTCATCGAGAATTTCAGCCAGAAAAAAGGCGACCCAAAGGTGACCTTTTTAGGGTGAAAATCCGTTAAAAATGGGCAATTATACCACTTTTTTGATGTTCGAAAATCCCAGGAGAGCCAGGCAAGCAAGAAATTTTACAGAAAATGATCCGAAAATTCTAGATCTCAAATCGTCTTCCGAACAGATAATTTTCCGAAAATTGTCGTTGGGTGCCCCTGATATTTACACTATTGCTCTTTTGCCGACACGAAAACTATACCAGATGGGCCTATGTTCATTCTTAAGAACTGTGTTTTGCAAGCGCGATTTCTGTAACGGAGCGAAGTTGCGCCGGCGCTCTGATCGAAAAAAGAAGTGTCTCATATCGGACAGCAGTTTCTGTGCCACACTTTGGTGCAGTGTGAACTGCAAGGACTGGAGTCAACTAAGACGGAAGTGAATATTTAAGAGTGAAGACTGGGATTTAGTACGACTTGTCCATTGCTATGCCGTTGCTCTTCATACAACTACACCTGGTGGCTTTTCGTGCCCTCACGGATGCTATCCGTTATCCGGGGGGAGTACTTCAGGACTTTTTGGGTGGGGATGTGCCGCTGGGACCCAGGAACCCTTAGTCTATACCAGATATAGTTAAAGTGAATTTTGCTACCCTATACTAGACTGAACTCCCCAAATAAGGTCCGTAATAACCAACATTAACATACCCGAGTGGCCCCACCCCCTCCCTCCCCCTCCTCTTACTCCTATCCTGGGATCATGACTTCCCAAGTATGTATCACTCCAACTATTGCCACTGAAATAAAAGTTTTTATGCTACTAATTAGAAGGAAACTGCAAAATTACCTTGTGCAAATCTTCGTATTTCAGAAACAAGACATTGGGATCGTCTTTATGTTTCCACCAATCAAGAACATGGTCGTTCCAAGCGTTCCAAGCGACTACAGACAACAAAATATTACTGAGTAAGATGCAATATAATAAGCGTCTGCGTCCTATTGACATGTGAGGAACGAGCGCAGAAATTCCACTTTGATGACGTGACTACCCAGATCTGGGTAGTGCTTCTGATTGGTTGAAGCAAATTCCCTCGCAGCACAACCAATCAGAAGCACGACCCATATCTGGGTAGTGATACGTCATCAGTATGGAATTTTTTTTCGCTCGTTCCTCACACGTCATTTTGCGAGGAAACCAATGGCAGCGTCGCGAAATATCGTCTGTTTGCTCAGCAGGCGTTAAAAGGGGAAGGGGAAGGGGGAATTTTGGCGCGCGAGGGAGACAGGAATCACTCCTCCCTCGCGCGTGGTCTCGCGCCCTAATTCCCTTCCCCTTCCCTTTCGAACACCTGCCCCGCAGGCTAGTGACGCTTGGGCTAATCTATATTTTATAGTAACACGAAAGACGTAAATAAAACTTTGAACGACGAGGCTGGTGTAATCGAGTCTTCTGTCGGAATATTCCACTTAATCTGTATCTAGCGTAGATTGGTACAGATAACACGATCATTTTATTTCCGTGTGTAATGTACAAAAGGATACGGAACCGTTTGTCATTCGTCGCTATAGAAACGAGAAGGGGGCCAAAGCCGAAATGCGTCCCGCAAGTAGCGAATGTGCTGTGGTACACTTCTCCATTCACAAAATGAAGACTTACCATTGCCCTCAATGAACAACTTGCAAGCGAATTCCCATGGTCCACTGTAATCAAAAATGCCAAGCTTTCTCCAGTCCTCCATGAAATGAAAGTAAGACACCGCCACATCCTTCGGGTTACGAACAACGTAAATATATTTACACTGAGCATCTTTTTTTGCACTTTTAGGGGTAGTGGGGTAAGGAAGGTGGGTCTTCATCAGACGAGGGCTTGGCAGAGTTTTAAAGTCAACCAACATCTCTCTGACAGCACTGCAGGCAGCGCCTTCAAAGTATGGGAATCGGAACATTTGTCTTTCGGTGCTGATTGCTCCCTGATTGTAAATTTGCCAGACAATTTCCTGCACCCAAGTTGTTCCTAAAGACAACGAGCGATGCAAAATTGAAGCAACATATCGTTTCCGTTCTCTTAAACATGAACGTTCAAAAAGTGACTGTGCACATTCAATATTTTACCCAATTACATGAAATTCTTTATAGCTATGACGAATGCTGTTTTGTGATAGCCCCGGTTGTCGTGATCTTCACCTCTTGAGATTACGGACCTACGACGCGAAATGACCAAATTCGAAGTTCTCTATGGAACGTGAAAGTCAAACTGCGAGAAATTTTCTGCATTCATACGAGCCCGGACTTAACCCCTCCCTTCGGTTAAAGCTTCATTGCGCAACTTTAAAACAATAGCTAAAAAGAATAAGAGAGGATGCATTTTAAACTCGGTGAAACAAATTTGAAAATGAATTAATCCGCATTTCAAGAGCTTGGGACAAGGAAAAATATTAACCTAGTACATGGACTTGCTCTCCATGAGTTCTCCGCAGCTCGCCCTGTGTTTGGGAGGTCATCGGTTCGAATCCCGTCGGGGACTCAGATTTTGTTCTTTGTCCCACGCTCGTGACATGCTGATTATTTAGTCATTTTCACGGTAGCTAAAAAGTTTGAAAAGACGTGAACTGGTAAGTCCGTTTTTCAGTGACGTTTTGTGGGATCGTAAGGTCCCTAATTTGCGATCGTTTCATCGTCGGAATAGATTTTACTTGTTCCATTTCGACGATTGTGCCCGTCCACATCGTCCTGCTAAGTCGCGTCTCATCATCATCATCATCATCGTTTGGGACAACTTCACCGTTGATGGAGACCGTGACGTGGACATAGATGCTTAATAATGGGGGTTTGGGGCGCCTAATTAACTACGTCTACGACTAAGAAATGGCATTATTTGAGTACTACCCAATAATTGGGTTTAAATTATTGTAAATAGCACCTTGAGAGCACGAACCTGACTTGGGATATGAAACGACGAACACGTCATCTGGTCGGGTTTCGAAACGGGAAATATAGTCGGCTAGCACCTCTGGATCTTTTGTGAAAAACGATGGAATTTTTACGCCCAAAACGTCCCAGTATTTCACTGATGTCCATTCTCCTTCTGTTATTTGAATCACTGGAAAACCTGCCATGATAAATTCAGCGTTTCAATCTTGATCAGCTTTGCACAAACAATCGAACAGCTTTATCTGTTTTCAAACAGAAAGCCTGCATGCGATCTGTAACGTTCATTATTATATGGTTGGGGTTCTGCTTGCGGCCAAGGTGAAGCCCATTCTGTGTTCGGATTGGCTACCCGACTAACCCCAGCGGGCAAGATGGATCTATCAAGACCCTTCGGGATTTCCCGCTTTGGTCCCGCAAGAAAAAAGCTTCGGTCAAGATGGCCGGACATTGGGCTTGTTTTTTTGCGTATCATTTGACCCCGACCTTGTCTTCGTCCAAAAACCGCAAAATAGAACTTGGCCGATAACCAGCCACCTTGACATCGCATAACGCATATGTATGCACGATCTTATTATATTTATTTCCTAGAGGCGAATATTTACTGAGGTCAATGTTTCCATCCTCGTTCCATCGGACTCGGCTTTAAAACAAAAATACCCTTATAGAATTTTCCGAGAAGTCATGTATTTGCAATCCATGTTAAAGTAAAAACACCCTTAACTTTTCATAGACAGTATGTTCAACTCTGGCAACAATTTGTTGACCATACGTTTGAACAGAAAAGTGCGTTTCAAATTTTGCACAAATAGCAACTAACAAAAAGAGATGCCAACTAATGTGATGGTCTCTTACAAGAGCAAAACCACAGGGTTCAGTTACTAATAATGCAGACTTTACTGCACGCAATGTCTAAGTCAAGATACGTGCAGTGCCGTGTTTTCATGTAAAAGTTCTTAGTAAGCACCGAAAATCTGGTCTCTTACGCAGGTCTACGCAGCCGTTTTTGTCTCGTCGCGCAACGCTCCTCCCCAACAGCGGGTGGGCGCGGTGCGTGAGGATCCGTTGCGTGACGTGACGTTGCGTGATGACCACCAACCGCTGTTCAGGAAATGACCCTGCGCTCCTCTCCTCTCTGCTCCGAAGGAACAAGACCGGACCCAATCGAGCATTACAGGGAACATAGAGATGAGACAGAACACATGTCAAGTGGCACAAGATTTTGGCCCCATGTGAATTCCAAAACCGCGCGCGAAGTTCAGATCCACAGGGCTGAAATATCCACTTACTCAAACCAGATTAGGATACGTACGGTGCCATGTTTTCACTAAAAGTTCTTCGTATACTCTGTGCGCGAGCAGCGTAGTACATTGAGAGGAGACAGAGAACATAGAGATCAGACCATGTGTCCAGTGATCGCTCATAGAAAAGCTTAAATTAACAATGGAAATTATGAAGTGTTTCGAAAACTGAAGACTTTTTTTAACAACGAGAACAACAACAAAGCCTTAATTATTATTTGGATCGCAAAAACAACACATTACAAGAGAATATCATATTATCATTTAATCATTAAAAACCAAACTGACACGCACGTATATGGCTCCTTCTCGTTTTCGGCTATTTTTGTAGATACTGCAGAGCGTACAGAATCCGAAATCCAATGTCTTTCCTCCTCTATATCTCAAAATCAAACTCTAAACCAGTTCCTTTCAGTTTCTCCAACACTTCCTTCTCAAATCTCTCATTCAGCTCTGGAGTAAAGTAATTCTTCCATCCACCGACCACGCCCTTACGCAACAATGGCGAACTCTGCTCTTCGTCCATTATCTTGTAACTGATCTCGTTTTTCTTCATTCCTTGGAAAGTACATTGCTCCGCAATACGGTTGATGATTTCATCAGAGAGTGGGTGGTTCAAGAACTCCGCTATCCTTCGAACATAGGAGGGCAAATCCTAAGATGCATAATGTATTGTCAAAGTTACAGTCAAGAAGACTTTTGCAGGGACTGATCAAACAACGTGAAATAGAGTTAAGTTGCCATATTTCGACTGGCCAATACCAGTCTTCATCAGGTTTATTGAGATATCACGAATTTACAGAAATATATATGAAATAAAATAATGACCGGAAATTACATAATATGACGTGGTATGGTGTGGCTACTTTTAAAAGAGACAAGATAACAAAAAAATAAAAGATATACTATATATAGTTACAGTTCATCACGTTTATTGATGCCCAAAGGCTCAATTGTCTTAGCTTTATGGATAAGGTGGGCTTCACGTGCTTTCCTGAAAGAATCACGCCCATTTTTAAGTTTTTCAATAGGAATCAAGAGCACATGATTGTCGGAATGATTGCTGGTAAGGAAGTGTTCTGAAACTGCAGTATGGATGTAATTACCAGTAGGGTTGAGTATAGGTCGTCTGTGTTCATTGAAACGGTCTTTGAGGCGACGTTTAGTTTCTCCAATATATTGAGCAAGATTGTTCGTACACGGTTTTTTGATCTACAAAAAAAATAACCATAACCTGTGTTGTCTGGAAAGCACAACAAAGGGCGTTGAAAAACTGGCCTGTTTCTAGACTGGGTAATCATTTCATGAAATGAAAAACCAGCCTTTTTGTTATCTACTTCGTAAGTTGGGACTGTAGTCGTACATGGTTTTGATGGATATGTACCGGGTTTCCATGCAGTTCAGTGTGGGATAAGGTAGAGGAATAAGAGGCCAGTTCTGGTCCGGATTTGGGGTATAATTTATTGGAGATAAATCAGGGATAATCATGAAGAGTGTCAGTTTCGGGTTTGTATAAACTATGTCTGGGTCTGGGATAGGGTAGAGAGTCTAAAGTAAGAGTTACAGAATCTAACTGAACACTACCTCCGGGCACAGGCTAAGGGCTCTAAGGTTATAGTGACATAAATTCTCCTAACAATTCGTAAAGGGCCCTCACGAGGTAAGAGGGGAACTGGGAAGGGGCTCTCATCTAGGGCCGGTTGTTCAATGATGGTTTAAGATAACCCAGGGTTGGTGCGATATTTGAATTCAGATATAAAAGCTAAAAAAGCAAATTCAGTTTATTTCTTTTCGTCCACAATTTGATGACTGGATACACTAAAAAGAATAGAAAAAATTATCCAAGGAAATGCTATTGGACAGAAGAAAAAACCTGGATTAAAATTTGGGGTGTAACGATTCATATTCCTTGCGATTCCATTCGATTTTGATTATTGCCATTCGATTTCGATTATTTCGATTTGATCATGTAAATGTTTCTTAATTCTTATAACATAATGCGTAAAGTAAACAACACTGATGCAACCCTAAACCCTCAATTTGAGAACAGTAATAGGGACAGGGGGATTCACAGCTGCTTGGTAGTTCGTCACCATGATTGAGAACCTGACGAAGGGCGTTTCGCACCTGGTTTGCCTTACTTGGAAATTCTCAAGGGGTAGTCAAAGGACAGCATTTTTCCAGGCAACACTAAAAATGGCGCACGAACTGCAATCATATTTTCCTCGTCAATCGAAAACGCACATTTTAAAGAGTTCTGGATTCTGATTTTACAATACAATAACTCACTGAGGGCACCCTGGAAAGGTATGCAAAAATAAAATCAAAATCGAAATGTGGAAGCAAAGAATGGTGAATCGAACCGAACGGTCATAATCGCGATTAAATCGTTACACCACTAATTGAAATTAAACCCCGGGTTAGCACTAATCAGACTTCGGACAACTGGGCCCAGACCTTGAAGCAAGGGGTTACGCTCTCGAAAATAAACTTTATCCGCGACGCATCCATGCGCTTCTTAGTGCTGGTCTAAAAGTAAATGGGCGAAGGGGGCCTAGCTTAGGGTCTGTTTACATGGTGGTGGGGGACCCCAGATTGGTGAGGTAACCCGCCTGTCCATATAATCTCTCAATTTAATTTGATCACGTTTACATGATAGGTGGGCTGACCCGCCACATGTTACCCCACCTATCTGGGGTCCCTCACCTCCATGTAAACAGGCCCTTTTTTCCGCTACCGTATTGTAACAGTTGTAACTAGAACTGCAATATCACCTTGTGTAAATCTTCATATTTGACAAACAAGACATTAGGATCGTCTCTGTGTTTCCACCTTCTTCCACCAGTCAAGAACATGATCATTACAAAAGTTGAAACCAGCTACACACAACAAAGTCATAATAGGATACAAGTTGTAAAGAGTATATTCTAAATTTCTATTCATGAGGATGTTGCGTTATTACTTTAACTACATGTATTGCGCTTGGCCGGTAGAGGCTATCATTCGACATTAGTTATTTTTCTTTTATAGTAGACTAAGAAGTACTTGAATCAAACTATTTTTATAGTAACATTTTAGTAGCCTGCGTTGTACAAGTAATTTACCATTGGTATATAACTATTTAGGAATTAAAACATTTGTCTGCAATGTTGGCCGAATATTAATGACCTGCATTAATGTCTGCTGTCTGCGTCAGAAAGAAAACATATATTCCTTAACATTAGGGGTACCAAACAGCCAATTTCCAAATATTTCAGACGTGTCTCTATGGTTTTTTATTATTATTGTTATTATTATTATTATTATTATTATTATTATTATTATTATTATTATTATTATTTAGAAGCCTCCTTCTCTCAGTGTTCCGAAGCCTTAAGAGAAATTTGATCGTCTTGAAAGTTATTATTGACTTTTTTTTACAGAAGAAAGGCATCGGGTGCCCCCGTAATATTATCACTTCTCTTAAACGTCTGGCGTCTCCCACTCCAAATAACTTTAGGTTTTGTTTGGTTATTTCTTCTTATGGTTGTGAGAGCTGACTTTTTATGAAAAAGAAGAGCTTACCTTTTCCCTCAATAAATAGCTTACTGAAAAACTCCCATGGTCCGTTGTAGGAACTAATGCCAACTTTTTTCCAGTGCTCCACAAAATGAAAAAATGACACTGCTACATCCTTGGGGTTGCGAGCAACGTAGATATATTTACATTGATCATCTTCATTCGCACTTTTAGGGGTAGTTTGGTAAGGAAGGTGGGATTTAATCATACGAGGGCTTGGCAGAGCTTTAAAATCAATCACTAGCTGTTGATTGGCGTTACAGGCACAACCTTCAAGGAAAGGGAATCGAAAAAATTGCTTTTCGCTGCTGATTGCACCTTCATTGTATATTTGCCAGACGATCTCCTGCACCCAACTCGTCCCTAGAAAAGGGAGAAAAAAAGAGTCATTTTAGAGAGTCTCTTGATTGAAGTAAGTCAGTGATTCGCGGATTGATAGTGAATGGCGTGTCACCTTAAGTGAGTTGGAGTGTTGGGCGCACACGGAGCTCTAAGGGAGAACAGAGATTACGCCCATATTAGGGAGCTTAAGCAACGATGACGACAGCAACGAGAACGGCAAGCAACAGGTTAAAAGGCAAGACAACACTCTTCACGTGCATCACGCTTTTTTGTACATTTATTTATCGTCACTGCAAGACTAGTCTGTGACGTGAAAATGCTTACATTCACGTTTTGTGGACGACGTGAACACAACACGACTTTCGTTTTCTTTTCCTGAACTTTGATACAGTCTTTTGGAATTCAACTCCACAAAAAATTGCTAACATTTGACATATTTAACCTTTTTAAGTGATGTTTTCGCAGCCGTCGCCGTCATTGTTGCTTAAGGTGATGTTTAATACACGGGACGATTCGCAACGACGACTTTTAGTGTAACACAGTGTTGCACACGGTTGGAACAATGTTGTAACTATTCGAAAAAATGTTGCGATAATGTTGCAACGCTTTGTTGACGTTAAAATCGTCGTTGCGAATCGTCGTCTTGTGTAAAATCACCTCTAAGCTCCCTAATATCAACTTGACGTAAAGCAAGAGAGGATAAAGGTCATCCTCTCTTACTGATGCGTAAAATGGCCTTTAATTGAACAACAACAACGACGACAAAAAGACGTGAATTAGTTCTTTCAGACGTGAACAAACCGTACATGATCACAGAAAATGAGAAGTTCACCAGTACAGGAAACCGATCCCGACGACCACTAATAGTGGCTAAAGGACAGTTCACAAAAAATTGAAAGTTCTCCAGCACGTTTCTTAATTCGTATAATCCCAGCCCAGAAAAAAAATGGTACTATGAAAAAGTTCTTCCAGAGGTGTTTCATTTGAATGCATGGTAACATCATAAGATTCACATAGGACGGTGTGAAAATAATGCTAAAGAGGTTTCATTTGAATGGTTTTGTCCACAGACTCAAAAGTTAGAATTACATACCAAATAAAAAGTGCCATGTGAAAGTACTGCTGAAGAGGTTTCATTTGAATGGTAACACCATAAAGTGGCAAGTTATCTCCAAGAAATGAAAAGGTTAATACGAATTCATGATTGTTGGCCTATACTAAGGTCACTAAGGCCAACATACCCTAGGTCAGAGCCTTTTCATGCTCGCACGCGAGAAACTGAAAAGCCAACGGGGATTTGATCGACAAAGCCAGGAGGCTGACTATCATGCCTTTCTTTACTCCTCCGCCATTATTGGCAAAATTTTTGCCCTATGTAGACATCAGCACTTATGTGTTCGCGCGTTTTGCACTTTATATCTATCTGACTTGGAAACCTAACGGTTTATTTAAATGCTAGGTATTTCCTTACCTGTAATGTATTTTTAGTTTTCCTTTTATTACACTGCTTGTAACTGACCATTAGACTAAGGCTACCTTCTGTAACTATTATTATTATATAAACACCAATGAAATACCAGGTGAGCTTTCGCGCGAAAACTTGATATCTTCACATGTGAAAATATCACCGTTGCTCTCATAATATTAAAATCGCGCCTTTCACATCAAAAAACAGTTAAAGTGAAATGGTGTTGGTGGTTCATTGGTGTTTAAATAATAAATAGAACATTACATGGCCGCTTGGAGATACGAAATTTCTCTTCTCGTTTTGAAAAAATATTTCACTCGTTCGCGCACTCGAAGGGAAATTTCGTATCTCCCCGCGAATCCCTCTATTCATTCTAAAGCGAAATGTAAATAAAGCTTGTTGTTGTTGGACGTCTTGTTGTTGTTGTTGTTATTAGGTAGAAAAAAAGCAAAATAGAATGCAGTTTTATCCAATGAATGTTTATACACGAACGTCCGAAACAAACACGTAACAGCGGTACCTTTGAAAAAAAAAAATCATCACAGCAATGATTCACGAACCTGACTTGGGATACGCAACCACAAAAACATCTTCTGGTCGTGTCTCAAAATGGCAGATAAAGTCGGCTAGCGAGGCTGGATCTTGCGTAAAAAGAAGTGGAATTTTCACGCCCAAGATATCCCAGAATTTGCCTGATGTCCATTCGCCCTCTGTTGTTTGAATTAAAGGAAAATTTGCCATGGTAGATTGCTGTGAGTGCAGCTTTGCACGCAGAAACGAGCAGTTTCGAACCAAAAGCCCGATCATGCGATCTGTAACGTTCTTCTAGACTTTATTTTACGGGCGAATATTTTTGGTTACTTAGTGGTTATACACCGCTAGTACAGTTTTGACACTTTAATAAAGGTATCATCATCATCATCATCCATGTTCAGTCGTTGCCGGCTGTGTCACGTTTTCGCCTCTTGAAAAAAAAAGCCTTGTAGATTTTGTCGAAAGTTCAGGTTTTTGCAATCTATATTAACCTTGCGATGAACCATGTCGCAACCCGTTTACCCAATTGAAAGACGTTTTTTTAAATTCTTAATTAACTATTTCTGAAATAATCAATCAAGAGTCTCTTACAAATTTCATCTTTATAGAATAGCTTTGAAATGAAACTTGCGTTACCTGTTGCATTTCAAATCACGGGCACTTGTTCAAGATTAGGAAATTTTGACAAAATCGTTTTATCAACAAACAAAAGATGCAAATGTTTGAAAACTGGGAAATTCATAGTCTGGGAGTGAGCTTTCTACTGGAAATGGAGAGAAACACAGAGATACAATTTCGTTCACAGAGGCTGCGATCCCGCACGGTTCCGCTGGATTTTGAAGGCTCTGGGACGAGATGGCGCAGAAATTCAATGGGGAACTAGGCAAACAGTAAGCTTTTTTTAGCTATTGTTTGCCACGCTAATGATCGGTTGAAATCTTCAAAGCAGAAAAACAATGCTTTTTGATTTTCTTGAAAACATGTCTCCGCTCAAGTCGTTTCCAAGGTCACACCAGATGTATCCCTACATGACAGAATTAGCAATTTGCAACATGGCGCCGAGTAGTGCTTCGAAGTGTATTCTGTTAAATTCGAAGAACGTTTGATCGTAACTCACAAACATGGCTTTGGTGGCGGGAATGGGTGTTGGTGTTCTACTACTGCTAATATTTTGGACTCTAGGCATTGTAGGCTGTGTAGCGTTGTCAAGGGCCGAAGGACCTTTGAAGTAAGTTTAAGTTTAAGTGAAAACTTTCTAAACTTGCTACCTTATAGGAGGCCCTGTCAGGGGGGGCTCCCATGTCGCTCGTCTGAATTTTAAAACGTCTCGTGTCAGTATTTATTAATGCTTCACGTCGCTGTCGGAAATTGAACGAAAATTCTTTGTCTTTGTCGGAATTTTAGAAAAGGGGGATAGCGATGCGTTGTAAATTAAAGAAACCGTTACAGTTGTGCAATTTCTCAGTTAACCTTTCACGTATAGAACACCTATACATCGCCATTCACAATTAAGGGTGTGTTCCTTTCGGTGAATCCAAAAACGGATTTTCGATCTTAAAACAGATTTCGCGTTCCTTTCGGCAAACCCAAATTCGGTTTTTTGATCTGGTGAATCCTTTTTGAAAAAAGATTCACATTGGATTTGAAATCCGAAGAATCCGAATCCAGATTAACGGATTAGTGATCTACGCTGTTCCATACACAGTGGATACGAAATTAGTCAGATGATCCAGCTTTACTTCCAGTTGAAGTATTCCCGTAGAGTTTCCTAATTGCTGCCATTTGCCGTAAAACATCTGAAAACACTAGAAGATTGTTCATAGTGGCACAGTAAAATATCCATGTGTTGACCATTTGTCGCTAAAGATTGCTTAAAAACACAAATAAGTAAAAGGGAAAAATAACTGCCATCTTTGTACAAACTCACTTGTGGACGCGATAGGCACTCCATAGTGTTACATAAAAAACCGAGCTACGAAACTGGATCAAACTGAGCCGACTACCTTTAGATAATTTTCAACTTTAACGCGCTCCTTTCTTGATCTGTTTATGTTCCATTGTCGTTATTCGAACTGCCGACCA